AACGGTAGAAAACGGCAATAGGAGACATCCACTTTGATCCGTAAAGTTTGGAAACACGTTTCTATTTATGTAAATCCGCTTTTATAGACGCTGTTTTTGTTTTCTGTGCAGCTTTCCTGGTTTAAGGCCTCCATGACAAAGCTGCTGCAGAAGTCAATAAAGTGAATTTAATATTTCCATATGAAGTGGAAAATACAGTTGAGGCTGATCGTGTTTTCGTGCATTAGAGTCTGAAACTTTTTAGAAATTTAGAGGACAGAAGAGTTTGATTGGAGGGATTTTATTACCGCCAATGTTTTTGGTTTATTTGGTGAAAAAGCAGCTAAATTGAGTCTTTAGGGGCCCAAAGACTCGTCTTTGGGTTGGTTATTGTGTATTTGTTCAAATAAATTCATCAGTTTCAAATGTTTTAATGATCTAACAGATTAGCACATACTCTAATTTATCTAAAAAAAGAATCCCAATTATAGATTTGTCATTCAAATCCAGTCTGTGTATAAAAAAAGCTTAAAAACAAACAACGCTGTTTCATTTTTCAGTGTGGTGCTTCGTTCTTATTTTTACTCCCATTTTTGTTGGTTTCTCCATCATTTTGCTTCCTAATTTCCTGTTTTTCTTTTAGATTCTTTTGTGTTAAAGACTCAAAATCTGAGAAAGCTGTTTTTTGTGGTATTTGTTTTAATTGTTTATCATTTTTTTTACTTGTTAACCTAAAAATAAGACCAGAGGAATCATTAATAGATGACACATTTAGTATTTATCACACATTTCTTTACGATATTAATCAGATGAAAAAAAATAATGCATCATTTTTCATCCAATTAAAGTCTTTAATTGGATGGAATTTGCTCCCAAAGAGCCACAGAAGTGGGTTCAAATCTCCACTCCACCCATATTGTTGCCCGTGACCTTTGACCCTCAGTGGCCTCTGAGTGACTCAGACTCTGTGGCTGTTTAACCAGAAGCTTCTCTATTTTTCCCCCGTTTTTACTCTCAGGGGTTTGATTCCTCTCAGACGGAGGAATGTGGGTTTGATTAGAGGCTGAAGAGGGGAACAGAGGGAACGGCCCTTTCCTATTCGGGACAAAGCAGATCTCCAGGGAAAAGAGTCAGCCGGAGCCTGGTGTGGCGCCCCCTGGTGGTCAGAGCTGAGCTGCCCAGTGTGTGTGGAGTCCTGAGTCAGAAATAAATATAAGTGAATAATAAAAAACTAAATATTGTGCGTTGTAGTCTATAAAACTAAGTGTAAATATTGCTATTTGAATGTAAAAAACTGTAAATATTGCACATTAGAGTGTAAAAACTGTATATATTGGAAGTTATAGAGTAAAAAACTGTAAAGATTTATAAATATTGGACATTGTATGGTGGGGTATTAATCTTTGAAGATAGAAAAACAATAATATTGCACATTGGTAAGATGGGATATTATAGTTTTTAATAGTTTATGTGGGAGTTTGGGGTTGTTATCACCATAGGAAAAGAGCTGTTTTCCATTTATTTAACTTTTCCTCCTCAAATCTGTAGTTATTTTGGCTTTTTGTGCAATTCTTAGGTAAAAAAAGTGTCTTTGAACAAGTTGATTAAACGTTTTAGTCTTTTTAAGTTAGAACTGTGAAAATATAGAAACAGAAACCTACTTAAAACTGCTGTAAAATCCTTACAGATTAACGTTTTTCTGCATAAATATCCAAAACAACTTCAGCCCTTTAAATCCCAGTTCCATGACTCAGTGGATTCGGATTCCTCCGGATATTTTAGGTGTGTTTGGTCCCTCAGAGTGGATTC